TTTTATTAATTTTTCTTACGACAACATTTCCTAACTTACCTATATATAGTTTATTATTATATTTATCTACTCACTTATAGATGGGGTTATTGTCACACCCTAAATAGTTAATGTCACATTTTTTTTAATGTGATTATCTATTATACTATAATACCCCAAAATTTTTAGAATTTTTAACATTAAGTTAAGGACTTTTATGAGAGGAAAATATTGTTTTGGGCTTAATTGCCAAAATTCCAAAGTTGAGGGGCTTAAAAAGGGAATATATTTTGGATAAGGATCGGAGGATTTCTTTCTTCTTCCCAGCCTTGCCCGATTCTGCTCTTCTTCTCCTTTCTTCCCACTGCAGCCCAAAAAAAAAAAAAGGGGAACCCAGCCATGCCTTTGAGAAACCGGTGAGATAAGCTTGGTTTTGGCCTTCTTTTCTTGCTCTAGGACTTAAATGGAACCCAGAAATCCCCTCCCCTCTGCAGAAATCCGGATCTGCCTTGCTCTGCTTTGTCCTTCCGCCGGCTGCTCTTGATTGTGGGTGATTTCTGGGCATTTTTTCGGTAAGAATAGCCCCTAATTCCTTTGTTCTTCCTTGAATTGGCTTGGGTTAACTTTGGTTTCTCCAATTTTTGGGTAGATTTCCCGAATTTCCCCTTGAATTTTCTGCAATTGCCGCCGGCTTCTCTCCCAAACTGCAGCTCGGTTTGCTTGCTAAATTATGGTATGTGACAGCCCTTTTAAGGCTTAAATTATCCATTTAGTTTGCTGGCTGTGTTGTCCGAATTTGGTTGAAAATTGGGGATGAATTCCGGTAGCTTTAGGATAAAGTTTAAGCATTGATTCGAGTGGAATTTATGTGATTGAGTGTTAATTGATTGCTGTGATTTTTTGGAGAAAATCCCGTGAGAATAGGCTATGGTTTTGCCCATTTTGGAAGTTGGAGTTACTGTTTACGTCGTGGTTACTGTTTACGGCACTGTTCACGGGTACTGTTCACACACGGAGGGTCAACAATTAACGGGGATTTAAATGATTAGTTTGTGATATAAAAACGAATTTGGAGATATTTGATAATGTGGAGATTGATAGGAATAGTACCGTGATTAAGGTATAGTCATGGTGATTTTACTTTTGAATCTGTGATGCGGTAATTAATTCTTGGATATTTTGATTAGGTTTCTGGTCATTTTGTCAGTTAGCACTGAGATCGAGTCTTCAGTTTTATACGAGTGAGGTAAGTAAATTTATGGTAATGTCCGTACATTTTTTAAAAGCATGTTTTGACTTGTTTTTAAAGTAGTGGCGGGACTAAACCCGTTTTATACAAAAATGAGCATGATTGATTTGAAATAAGATTATTATTCTTTTTATTGATTTGAGCATGCCTACTTGGAGTTTATTTGACTGTCCTGATGATTTGAAAGTGATTGTGAATTGTGATTTTTCTGTTAATTTCTACTTGTTTTGTCTCCGATATGGTCATGTTATTCGTGTGCCCGCTAGTAGGAGGCTAGTAGAAGGTTTATAAACGCTAGCACATGTCGACATGTTACTGATAGAACCGGTTCGCTTCTGTTATCTTGCTAGTGGGATTATACACTAGTAAATCGTGTGCTTGTCAGTGGGAGGTTTATAACACTGGCCGTGACTTATAGAGGAGACGTCTATTTCGTTCTCGTACTGTATCCGTTTTTCGTGATTATACTAGTTGGCATGCTATAAGGTTAATAAGGGCACTCCATATTTTACTTACTGAGTTTATCTCATAGTTTTCCTTGTCCACCATTTCAGAAAGTGAAACCGAGGACGGGGAGACCACGGGAAGTGACGAGTTAAAAGGCTAGCCATTTTGTAAATTGATATCAATTTTTAGATATAAATCATGATCTTGTAAACTAGAGTGTATTTGGAGATTTTACGATATTAGAGCAATTTTAAAGAAATTGATCTTCAGATTTTGATGGTGTCAGATGTGAATTGGATAAGTTCCGAGACTTATGCATTTGTGGGACTCGTCTCACGAGTGCACGGCGTCTATCATGTCCCCGGATTTGAGTTTTGGGGCGTGACACATACCCTTACATTATACTTTTTCTCAAAAACTTATATGTTTATGTTTTTAATAAATTAAAAGGTATAATGGTCAATTAAGATAAAAATATGTGACATTAACAATTGAGAGTGACAATAACATCACTCTCCACCTGTATATGCCTCACTTTCCCACTTTCTATATTAATAAATTTGTTTATCATTATTCTTTTTCTCATCATCCTCCTACTATATTATTCGTTTTTTAATCACTTCCCACACCTCTATTGATCATTATACATCTTCTTTTTTTTTGTTATTAATTTTTCTCATTATGCTTATTCCCTTAGTATTATTGTTTTTTAGTCATTCATTATATCTCTATTCATTATTAAATATATGAATAGTGTATAGTAGGTCTATCATTTTTTTAGAGAATCTACCTAAAATCTACCTTTTAATCAATATTTTCAAAAATCGATAGTTG